GCTCAGCTACTACACTTCATGCATTAACATGTTGCTTGCTGTCTGACAGCTGCAGCAATCAGCTTACGAGTTTTGAATAGTTTAATTTCTGCTCTAAAGAGGCACAAAGTACTGGAAAATAAGTAAAGAAAAATGTCCTGACTCCCCTAAGACATGCCAGGCTCATGGGCTACACAGGGCATCAGTGTAACATGTAGGATCTCAGCAAAGCAGCACCTGTGGCACCTGGATGAGAGCTTCCCACAGGAACTCAAGCTCCTTTGGGAAGTACTTTGGGAGTACTCTGCCATGATTGCTAGTTCCAGTGTCTCTGCAGAAGGTTGTAGAGGATGGGGCAGTGCAGGCAAAGCCTCACTGAAAGTTTAGAGGCTTTGTACACCACTGTGAAACAAGCAGAGCATCAGAGAAATTTATTAAGCAGAAGAACAAGGTTTTGCTTTCATACTTACAAGGCATGTGCCTGGGCTTTTGAGCCAATTTTTGCCATCTAGAGGTGGTTACTTAAAGCCTGTATAATCTGATCTGGAGGGGAAGGAGGTTTACCAGTACCTAGTCAGGCAAACTCCCATCCCTGAAGGCTTTACAGTCTAATTCAGACAGGAACAAACAATTATGGACTTGGTTTCAAAGCAGGAAGTGGACTCAGCAATGGGTGAGATGAAAAAGCAGTGTGATTTTTATAAGGATTCAGAGATGAAGTAGATTAGACTGCTTCTCCTGGGCACTAAACATTTGAAATGTATTGGGAAACTGAAAAAGCACATAAACATATATTATGAAACATCAGTGACTGCCCAGCTGCAGCACTCTGTAGCTTCCAGCACAGACTAAGTAACAATCTTCAGGACTATGATAATTTAGTGCTTTTCTTTTTGCAGAGACCTACATAGATCATACCATCATCAGAGGACAGTTAAAATATATAAATATTAGAGGCCAATCTAAAAGCACCTCAGCAAGATAATAAAAATTATCAACAGGTAATGGGTAACTGATTTCTTCTTCTCCCTCTTTCAGAGGGTTACAACAAAGAATGTACAACAATAAGCATCCCAATTATGCTTATGGACTTTCTATATCATAAAATACAGAAATTAGATATCTAAGATATGGCACAGGATCCTTTCCTTACACATAGAAAACAGCCATCAGTTAAGTCTATAGGATTTGTGCCAGAGACAGAAGCTGGGAATTAGCTATCCTATGATTTCTAACTCTGCTGCTGATTTCCAAGATACTAAACTATTTCTGTTTTAAAATACTCAATAATAAGAAATCATCCTCTTTTTTGCTGGCAAGGATCTGAAGCAATGTCATTATCAGCAGTATGGGGTCAGCAAGCAGAATCTCTCCTTAGTTATGGGTGAGTAACTACACTGGAACAAATGAGTTAATATTAACTAATTGGCAACAGAAAGATGGTTCTCTTCCAAATGACTACAAACAAAGATTGATTAAAATCAACAAGATTTAATATCATCCACAACTTCAATTATGTTCTAATGCTCCTAAAGTAAGTGAAAGGCATTTACATGCCAACCCCCCTAAATGTTCCCAGTTATGACTGAAGCAGGCTTGACTCTTCACATCACCCCATTAAACCAACAGCATTGAATAGACTGTTGTGCTACAAACAGTATAAAAACAGGACAAAGTTAAAAAATGCAAACTAAACATGAATCCCAACCCAGAGCCCTCTAGTCTGTAGCCTAGGGTTACATTAATTTTGACCTGCTATTGAGGTCTGTGCTTTGCCAATCTCCTGCATTTGCACTCACAACAAGGTGTGACTCAGCTCCAGCTCCATGTACCAACTTTTCCTCTCCCATATCCCTGAGGGGAATTGTGGTGCTCTCAGCTGTGCTGCTCTGCTGATCCCAGACCTTGCCTTCAGCAACAGAAGGCAGACGAGTTTTAGCCATGGCAAAGACCCAACTGTCTAAAGACTTCTGCTTGGCCTTGGAAAAACAGCCAATTATCCAGGCATCCCAAAATATCCAACTGTGCTACCACTGTTTTGATACTTCCAACTATGTAATCTGGAATAAAGTCACAGGCCTTTTCTTGTTTAAAAAGGAAAAGAAACTTTAACTGGATATCAGCACTCAGCTGGGGGAGGTGGTGATATTTGCTGGTTGGTGAATATATTGTTTTTGACATGTGATGTCTCCTGGTGATGCTGAACAACAGCAATATTGGAATTTGTGTAGACAAACAAACCTTCCTGATTTCCAAATAACTGCCTCCTACTATGACTTCTTGGAGACAGTACCCAATCTTTACAGTTCTGCTCCTCTTCAAATTCCCTTTGCTTGGTCACTTTAGATTGAGTCTCTGTGGGTCCCATATAATTGAACATGTGAGCAGTAGCTGGGAGCAGTTAGTAGTCCCTGTGCTGAAGGGGAAATTCAGGTAAAAAAGACTGAAACAGATACAGCTTGCTCAAAACAGACATTTTCTCCTGAGTTACACAGCCTGTTGGACACCAAATAATCAAATCATAACCAAGGATCACTTCAGTCTTCTGCTACAAGGCAGAAGCAGCCCAGAAACATAAACTGCAGTGTCATCTTATCAGGGCATCACTGACACAAAGATTAACCCTTTCCCAACTAAATTATATACCAGCTTTTCTTGAAATAGTTCTTACAGTCTAGAGGAAGATTTGATTTTATGTAGTGTAAAAATAGTGCAACCACTCCCTTTAATACTGCTCTGATATAGTGAGAAAGCAAGCTGTAGAACAGACTGCTCAGCACCTCCTTTCCCTCTTCAGCTATCCTTTCCAAGTGCCCTTCACTCCCAAACTGGTGGATCCTCATTTAATCCCCTGCTCAGTGGGATCCAGTCAAAGGGCAGCTCCTCCTGCCCTCCTGGAGAGAGCAGGGCCACAAAGTCAGCAGAGGGACTGAGCTGGAGGGCCACCAAGGGAAGGGAATTGGTGACCTCCTGGCTCCAGGCTATGAGTTTGACCAACTGAGCCATGCCCAAATGATCTCTCAGTTAATTTTTCACAGACTTAACTGAATCAGCAAGTCCCAACTACAGGTAAAAGTACTTTGAGCATATTCCCAGGTATATATTTAGCCTAGCTCATGTGGATACTCAAGTGCAAGTATCTTTCTTAACTTCAGGAATGCTATCCTTAAACTACTGACAGGCAGATGATACTTTCCTGGGCGGCACCATGGTTCTGAGAGCCTCACTTACACAGGGATCAGAAAATATTCATACACAGAATGAAAAATCCAAAACCAATGTCCCCACTTAATTCAGCTGTGCACACACAGTGGATGGCAAAACAGGAAAATACCTGCAGTGTCCTGCTGTGACAGCTGCCCCACAAAGGTCCCACTGCAGCTGCTGATGTCTCATTATGAAGCTGCTGGGAAAGCCATGTCAAATCAAAGCCACACTATGTGCAGCACAGCAGCAACTTGCTGAGCACAGCACAGCTCAGTTATTCTATAAAGAAGTGGCAGAACTCACACCTCTCATTCCTGGTTTATCTTTCCCTGTTTTTCCCCGGGAGACACCTCATGCAAATCCTAAAGAACCTTTCCACACCACAGGAATTCAGAGGCATAAAGCATGGTGCTATCAACATCAGTCTTGACTTCTGTAAAACCCACCAGTCCCACAAGGGCAGTGAATTCTGAGGGACATTAAAAACAACGCCAGGGACTATCTGGAAAGGTCCTGCTAGAAATGTTAGTTCTGGAGGATTCTCAGACAAAAAATACAAAGGGCACTGAGTCAAGGTGAGCTGAGAAGCATGCAAGCAGGAAAACTTGCCAATAAAAGGCACTCCTTCAGAACATAATGTTTTGTCTGACTGCTTTATCAGAATATCAATTTACAACTGCTTCTCACTACTCTGAACTGAAAAAGACAGGGCTGCAAAGGCTCTAAATCAAGAAGAGGAAGGTAGGCAGAGTAGGGTGGCCCTCATTCACTAAAGCATTAAACATATTCTACTTCTGTATTTTAGAGAAATCCAGACTGTTATTTTCTTTCCCTGAGGGTGTTTTTTGTTTGGCTGTTTTGATTTTCAAAACGTACAATTTCTGCTACCCATGGTTAAATAATCTTGTGTCATTCACCCAATGCTCTGGAGCAGTCTGGTCTATTTTAATAATCTTTTCATGACCAAATATCTTCAGAGACGCCTAAAACTGCTAATTTAGAATAATCCTGTTGTAGAGAAGAATAAATGCCTTAGATTTCAAACCAAGGACTTTGGTAACAAAACCATCACAGACCGCTAGGGAAGTTCTGGAAGCACTTTCCAGAAGGTTTAGTTCAAACTTCCAACATGCATGAGGTAGATTAGAAGATCCAACTTGGAAATCAATCTACAAACACTAACTTTAAATGTAATTTGAATTGATCTACTTAAAATATTACCATGTCCCTTTATTCTAGCTTTACTGCAGAATACTTTCAGTTTTGTACATGAGTTCTCTAACAAAAAAGAAAATGCAATTCACCCTTTGCTTCTTCCTCTGCCACTGCAGCATGGCCTCTGTCCATTTTCTCCTGTTACTCACCAGTTCCCAATTTTCTAGCACAGCCCAATTTCACCATTCAGTTTTCACACACAATTCTGCTTAACACAGCCTTTGTGTTCTCCAGTACATTTTGTATTCTTACCTGTACACACAGAGGCAGCACAGTGCCCCCAGCATGCTCTAAAAAGTAATTAAACATGCACTTCTTTCCTACAGTTCTCAACCTGTCCCAGAATGAGCAGGGAAATTAACAAACAGTGGCATACCACTCCAGACAGCTCCAAGGCCACATAAATAGCTCTGACAGTCTCCACTTTTTTCCTCACTGTTTCAGCATGTAAAAATCCTGTCTCTTCATACCTGGGAGACTTAATACTGATTTGTTCCACTGTCAAGAAGACTCAACACGTTTGCCTGTTAAGCCTTACAGGTCCTACCTTTCCTCAGCAGGTCCATGTTGCTTTTCCAGTAGCTGAAAGGTTCACTCACCTCCTTGTGGGAATCCTTATGTGCTTCCAGTGTTTTCATGATAGTCAACTCTGCGTAGTTCTTGAACCGCGCCGGCTGGTTCCGCAGGATCTCCCTTAGGACCCGCAGTGCCAGGGCTCTGATTGAATGCTGTGTCAGGAAAAACAGACATTAGAAAAAGATTAGAAAGAGTCACTTCTCAAAATTGTAGTTTGAAGTGAATTCTCATGGCTCATCAGAAATTTGCATGGCTCTCTACGCCACCAGCTCCAGTGGAATGAGCAGTGGAGTCAATGTAACAAAATTCAGAACTGGGCTCCTTGCTTGCTCTTGCACAAAAAGCCACATAAAATTACTTTTCTCACATACACAAGAATCAGAATTACTACTTTCCTAAATTCCATTTTCTTTTGGCAATGAAGTACAAATTTGTACTCAGAGGAGGACATCTACATTACATGAACATGTATGTTTTGCCTTTCCTCTCTTGCTCAGCTTGGCAGATCCAACTGGGCTCCATCCATGCCACAAAGCTGTTTTTCATGTACTAAAGAAGTAAAACTGACTTGTCCTGTAACTCCTATGGAAATTACTTTCAAGGACTTAAGTTACTGTAGTCAACACTGATCTATGTCTTCATCCTTCATATCAAAAGATCATGAGCAGAGGGGATTTGTAACAGCTGTTTCAACTTCATAACTTACATTAAATTTTTGACCTGTGGCCATTCCAAATAGATGTCATTATTTCAGCAGACAAATACGTACTTTACTTCATCCTTTTCAGTCCTTAAAATATGTGCTTTGCTATTCATCTGCAAAGCTCCTACAGTAGCACAATTCACGTGTAGTTAAGACAAAGTCACCAGACCTTGTGATACTTGTGTGATGGTGCTATCATTAAACAAGTAAAACTACAGCAGTTCATGCTCAAACTAAGAACAATGACTAAGAAAATGTTAGCAACCTACCCTGCTTCAGAATTAACAGTTCTGAGAGCATGATATGTATTTTACAAGTAGTATAAAAAATACAACAGATTTTTGAATCAGATGAAACAAAAAAAAGAACTGTGAGTGCTTTGAAGCCTCAGTATTGTAACACTCAGATGGAGCATGGCTCTGATGTGAAGGTGCAGTGGGGTGTTGAGCCTTTACCAAATATCATTGAGCTGCAAGTTGAACAAATATCCCCAAATGGAAAAAATCCTAGCCTGTACATTTCCACTTTGATCAACTACCAAACATAAAGCTGTGATAATAACAAAGTTTTTTTTAACATTTCAAAACAAGATCCCCTATAAAAGCAGCTTGCTCTTGATGACATTTTTACAAGAGACAGAGACTCATCCCATGAGATCTAATACCCTGGGTCTTTAAACCACCCAGGGGAAAAAAATTAATTTATTTTAGAATGCCTTTATTCTGCTTGCTGGGAATGGGTTTATATAGCTAAGAGCTTGTAACTTCATTCTAACTCAGAAGAAAATAACTGAAGCCTTGACAGTTTCTTACTAGACTAGAACTTCTTTTCTGATTCTAGTTCAATTTCCTATCTATTTATTAGTAACACTCTGGAGGGAGGGGAAAAAACTGGGACATTTTGGAGTAACTTAAAACTCTTCAGTGAACAGAGTGAAAACTAAAGAGTTGTTAAAATTCAAAAGAAAAAATGAGCAGTGCAGTTATCACTGATGAGTGGCAGGTTTCATTTAAACTGGTGTGTAGGAATTATTACCCAAGACGAAGCAATGGACAGGAGAGTTAAGACAAAATCTACATCTCACATCTTTGTCTCCAAGCGTTTCCAGCAGCAAGAGCAGAATGGTTTTGAAATGCTCCTCCCAAACTCCAAGATTATCCTCCCTTGTGATCTTCAGCAGTTCCAGGAGAGCTCCTTTCCGCTCCTCCACCCGCTCGTTGTGGTTGGAGAGCTCTTTCAGAAGATCAGCCACCAAATCCGAATGGTCAATGGGTACTTCTAGGACAAATGGCAGCAAATCATTTGGAGAAACGGGGAAAAGATCAAAGGTGCCAAGACTGCTCACCCTCTATGGAATGAGGTTCATGTAACAAGAGCCCCCCAAAAATGCATCAATGTCCAGGTAGTCTCAGTCAAGCAGGCAACAGAATCAGACTAGCCCATAATTTAACCTGAGTTCATAGCAGGGCTCATGCATCTGCACGTGGCTTCTAATGAACCAGGAAGAGATGGCAATTGGATTTCTTCCAGTTCCAACAATTACTTCTACAAGATGAGAACTGCCGTGGTTTTTCCCAGACATACACACCCAAAACCAATGGTCACATGTATGACCTTTAGAATAAAGTACAGTGACTCATCAGTGTACTGCAAAAGAATAAAGCTGATGTGTAGCTGCACTTAATGAAGTCAAACACTCAATAACAACAAGCTGTTGAGTGAGACATTTCAGCCATGAAGAGGGGAAGGTCTCAAAGCAGTGTCCCTGCAGATGCATGTGGATGCTTAAGGGAGTAATTTACAGGAAACCCCAGGCAAACAAGAATCAAAACCACAGTATAACATTTTTTCTCAGTATCCATAGATGAGGTTCTGCTGGGACATGAGAACAAAGGGTATTTCATACCAAGCTTTGGCTCAGATGCAATGTAATACACAACACATGCACAGGCAGGCACGTATCTGAGGGCACTAGGCGTACAGAGTGGCAGTGAGCTGCCTGCAGTGCTACAAGGTGAGCGGATACAAACCATCCCGGAGCTGATCCATGTCGTCATCAAACACTGCTTCCTTCAGGGCAGTCTTGTCGTAAGTGTTAATGGTGTCAGCGTAAGGATAGGGGTTGTACTCCCGAGCACGGGGCCCCGAAAAGGCGCGGGGAGGCTGCGTGTTCAGCAGGGAGGTTTTGTTATCCAGAGCCATCCTGCCGCCTTCCACAACGTCACCGCTTCCGCGGACATCGCCACTAGGGAGAGCAAGGCCACCATCCCGAGACACCTAGGTGAATCGAACAGAGGGAAAAAAGAGAGGTTCAAAATTCTATGGAAGCTGTAGCGTTTTTGGAGTTCACCCACCAACAGGAAAAGGCACAGATTTACTTGTATTATTTATCCATAATACTTACCTAAAACTTTGATTATTATCTCTTTCTTTCACACAACTACACTTGCTCAAAAATATCTCATGATCACAGTTTCTGGAACCACTCTTGCAGCATAAGACACTGTATGAGCTGTGCACTTAGAGTGATCACAGGTCCTAAGCCTGTGAGGGAAATCATCCATGCATTTGAAGAACTAACATTTCCCATTACAGACATGACTACACACACTCTATGCAAGCCATCACTGAGCCACGCTGAGCCTGAGGAACACCAGCACTGCTTCCATCTTTCACGGCACTTGCACAGAAGCCCAGTGATCACATTCCACAGGAGGCCAGAGGTCAAAGGGAGCCAAGGGAAACAGTCAGTGAAACCCCATAATTAAGGTATAAGAAATTAACAACCAATAAGCAGAAGATGCCTGTAAGAATATAGCAGGAATAACTGGATTTTGTACACTAACAATCCACAGACAGGTTTGATCACAGTGTTTTAAAATTTCATCTACTGGGGGAGAGTAAACAGCAGAACACTTACAATGTCACAGTCCTTCTTTCCATCACGTTTGATTGGCTCATTCAGGTCCTCTTGACTACGGAAACTAAATTTCTCAATTGCTTCTGTGACTCCACGAAGAGAGCTGTAGATTTCATCAGAGTTTAGGTTCTCCGTGTCATAATCCAGCATACTAAAGACCAAACGCATATGAAATGTTACAAATGAAACTGGAATCCGCTTCTGACTGTCAACAAAAACAAGCTGGAGACATATGGTTTGGAGTGCCCTTTCTAACAGTGACTTGTAACACAACATGGATGGAATCAAAGCAGAGTTCAGGTCTGAGCTTCCCCTCAAATGGGGCTAAAACAAGGAGAACACATTGCTGTAAGTGAAGGGAAAGCAGGTCCACTGTTTCTTACACTCAGTAAGTGTGCTACCTTCTGTAAACCAAAAAACCCTATCCCCAGTGTGGCAGTGGCATAATTTAAAAAGGAAAATAGTATCAATCACTCTAAGAACTCAAATGATTGTGACAGCTGGCGGAAATGAAATCAGTGAAATTTATGTTTAACAATATATGAAACTAGACATTTAAATGGAAAGGAAAACTTAACTTGACATAAACCTTAGTCTAACATGGCCCATTTTAAAGTAGTAAAACCTAACTCACTTGCACAGTGCCTTGATAAAAAGAGCATTTCAGTACTTGGCCTAAGTTTGGGAATTCTCTCACTCAAACCTGACACCTTCTTGCAGTTTATCAGCTCCTCAGAAATTTCTGAGCCAAAAGTTTTGGGATTCCTTGAGGAGTTATCCAAAATTAGGTCCCATGATCAAATGCCTTGCATGCAAGGGCAGATGATATTAAAGATCTGGCAAAAGAGAAGTTCCTACAATCTTTGAGAAAATAAAACAGCATTATTGGCAGGGCTTTGCTCTATCTAGGAGAAGTTGAGTTTGCATGACAATCACTAAATTAATAGATCCAGCAAGACAGAGCAATTTCTGGCGGAGTCTCAGATCTCAGTAGAGCCAGAAGCAAACAGACTGAATCAGACATTTACATCAAGTTGTTTGTCAATAAATGCAAGAAGTGGCTCCCTACAGTGGTGAATTACTATTTCATAACATTTTGGGAAGAATGACAGGATAGGCTTGGAGGCAGATGGCTGAACTGAGTTGTGTTCCTTTTCCACAAAAGAAAGATTCCCTATGAGGTGGGTGGGGGAAAAACCCAAACAAACAAACAAGAAAATCCCTTCTGAATTCCGCATACACAGCTGTTATTTTCAATGGAACCAAAAGCAGGATATTAAATATCTACTAAATATCTAGAACCACAGCTTTTTTTTTCTGGAAGAAACTTGGGGACTTCAGACAGAGGATAAGATGGGCTGCCCAATTCCTTTGGGATTAACACACTGAAAATAGCCATAATCCCTGGCTCCCAAGCAACGTGTTCGCACTACACTCACACAAGCATCAGCACCATGTATTTTGGCAAAGAAACCAAAGAACAATTCCCCAAACAGTGTCTGGCAGACCAGGGAGAATGAGCAATCATTTAAGTGACCAAGATCAGGAAACAAAAGCTGTTCATAAACCTACAGAAGTTGAAGTATTTAAGGCTTTTCAGACAGCTGAACAACAGTAATGCACTGTGATGGCTTTCCAGACAGAAGGCAAGGCAGTTTTTAGGTTCTTTAGAAGTACCAGTCAGGAATGGGAAAATCTTTGTTTCATACAACCTCAAAAATATGCGTTTTGAGCTCAAGCACGTTTAATTCACAGATCTTAGTTGTTCATGTAACTTTGAAGTGGGCAATGAAACCCCCATTTGAAAAGGTATACATGTGACTGTACCTGTGTTCTCACACCAAGAGATGACATGACTTACCAAAGGTCACACAATTAAATCCATAGCAGAAAAACCAAGAAATAATCACAAATATAATACTGACAATAAATCTGCTGAAGTCATCACTTCTTTCCTCAGGGATGAATTCTGCCCTACACTGTCACCAAAGAACAATGAGAATACAGACTCTTCAGTGCTAAGAGACTAAGGTAATGTCTCAGAGCCACCAATCTGATAGATTTGTCAAAGCACAAACCCACATTTTAATAAAGATCTAAAGAATCCAGTGATTTCATATATCAGAAGTAAGCCTGTGTAGGAGGTCACATTATGGCTGTGCTCTACATGAATGAAAATTCTACAATGTGAACACACGTCTCTACTGACAGTATGTGCACTGGAATACTTCACAGACAACACAATGGGGGGAATAAAAGCAAAATGGAACTACACTCACCTTTCAGGAAAAAAAAAGGCACAAAAGGGAAAAAAAATTATGACCCATGCAGAAAACTAGAGGAAAGGCACAGGATGAATAAGAAGTGAGTAGAGATGAGCAGTGTTTAGGGATGTCACAACATTATTTTCCATCTGCTGCACAAAACCAATGCAGCTGTCTGTAAGCTTATAAAGATACAATTTGGTAGTTTTCCAGTCTGGCATGAAATACATTTTACTTCCATAAATTGTTATTCAGTTTCCAATCCAAACTATGTGTAAGTAGCCCACAGTTTAGCCTCTTCAAGCAGTACACAGTAACTCATGTCCTTGCACTTTCAGGCTCTGGGCTGGAATATATGTTACATTATTCCAAACCGTATTATCTGGTGTCAGATAAAAGGAGACAGAAAAAACACTCTCAACTAGTTTTATTCCAAAAATTAATATGGATCCCCTCCATAGATATCTCCACAGTGTCCTAGCAGAGTCAGAACATTCATCTGAAGTTTTTAATTCTGCAGGCATTCACAGGGTTACCTACTACTGCATTCTACTTTCTCTCTCAGATGTTACAGGTTCTCAAACTTTGAGGCCTCAAAGAAAAATTCCTTTGCTTTTTTTCATTAGTTTTTCATTAGGAAAAATGAAAGTCTTTCCTTTTGCTTTAAGGAGAGACTATATATAGTCCTTCTTCAGGTAACAGACATATCTAAGTCAGGAGAAACCACATTTACAGATGGGTTTGTTGTCAGGGTTTAAACTTTAAAAAATCCAAGGAATTTAACAGAGATCTGACAAATTAAATTTGTATTCAGGTTGGGTTTTTTCCTTAAAACTAGCATACAGCTTTAGTCCACTTTATTGATCCAAGAGCTGTATGCAGACTGGAACAATATGTGAGGGCTCAGGAGGAGGAACAGATGTCGAAATTGCGATTGATAAACTCAAAATCTTGTGGTTAGGACAATTTTAATTTCAATGCTACAAATTTCCAAGATGTTCCACAATCACAATATACAAGCAAAGCTCTATGTGAAGTCACTTCTGAGCTGTATGTATCCATCTGAAGGTCCTCTAGTGCCACATGCACAGTGCAGCCAAATTGAAAGATCCTGCCCCTGGTATCATAACGCAACCAGTGCCTGCCAAAAGTGCTCAGCAACTGTGTTCTGCATTGGAAACTGACTGTGAAGCATCTCCCCTGCCATCTTCTTGAATGGGTGAAAGAGTCTGGAAAAATCAACTTTATTTTATCCCCACTTATATGCTCCATCTTCCCCAAGCAGCGAGCAAATGGCCGCCTGTCACCCCTGCTCTCTGAAAGGTATCATCATCATCTCTGCTCCTCTTGCAACCAAAGCCTCTGCAAGTCCCACATTTGAACAAATCCCGTGGTGTGAAAGGTAAATAATACTGTGACACCTCAGACAAGGTGGTTTAACAGGTAGCTTGTTACCTGGGAGAGTAAGAGCGTCTGAAAGTCTTGTGGGAAGGAGCAGTGGGGATGGAGTTAGGCTGAGAAAGGGGAGGGGGGTGCTTCGACAGCCCATCTGCACTCCAACCCCAGAGCCGACTGCCGTGACCAGAGGAGAAACAAAAGAGAGAAAAAACAGAGAAAGGAGAGGGAGGAAAAAAAAAAAGAAACTATAATCTGAGTGGCTTAGTGCTGTCATGCTGCCTTGGAGAGAGAAAAAAATTAATAGAAACAAAATTAAACAAGAATACTCCATTGCACCTCACAAGTCTTTGTTTTGGTCTTTATTATTCATTTCCATTTTTATTCCTAACATAATATGATTCACAAAAAATCCAGTCCCTGCTTGTACTAACCAGTAGATTTCACAAATGGATATAGCCTCCATAAACAACTCCATTTATAATGTTCTACGCAAGCAATCCCTGGCCACACGTGTATTCAAACTCTAAGCAGGTGTTTCTAAGCAACAGGATTTCCTTGGAAGAAAGAAAAATTGGAATTTATTTTTTTATTAGACACCTGAAGATACCTTATAAAGTTAGTCTCCTGGTGCCTCTATAAAAGCCTGTAGTCAGGCCCTACATAATCAGAAAACCTTTGCAGGACTTAAGATCTGATCCTGCTTCACCAGATTCAAACTGAACCCAAATATGCAGCAAGTGAAAAGTCAGTCTGGAGTGTAAATGTATCATGGGGACCTGGCCCAGGTCTCAGCAGACAAAGCTGGAAAGACTGGGTGAAACCAGCCTTTGAGTTGATTCAGATTGCTCCTTAAACTTTCACAGGCCCCTTTAAGTTATTGTATGACCCTGTGCCTTTGGGTCAAGACATCCATTCCTGTGTCAATTTGTCCAACCTCTGCTTTTGTCCTTTTCCTATTACAGTACATGGATTTTCAAAATCACCTTCCAAATGAGAATAGATGCTTCAGCTGGTGGAGTATTCACAACACTACTTTGTTTCTATTACATTTCAGCACTTTGTGTTGGATATTGTCTTTGTACATATGCAAGTGAAAGATACTTTCACATGAGAAGTGACAAACAAGTCAAGAATTGCTCCAGTGCAAACAGCAGCAAAGCCAGTTAAAAAACTCCTCTGAAGAGCAGTGTCAAGAATTTCACTCATTAACCAGCAATCAAATCCCACAGCTATTACATGCCAGTATTATCAAGGAAATACTCCAGACTGCTTATCAGAAGTTTCACAGCTCAGGTCTCACCTACCTGAACACAGGCCACCAAACAATGCAGGTTTGTTCTTATTGCATAAAGTGAGTGGCTTATTTTAATTCTGTTTCCATGTCTTTGTTGGCTCAACTTAATACTGAAAGTGTCAATCAAATTTTGTTTTTAATGGTATTTTTATTATCAGTGAAATAACAAATATGTAAACTTACATAGCCAGATAAAATTGTAGCCTTTTATTCTGATGCATTTCCTCTAAAGATCTTTGAAAGACTGAATTGTTTTCTTTAATTTTGGGTGATTTTTGTTTATTTGCTTTCAATAATCAAAACTCAGCACAGGCTTCCGGGCTACTAATAATGGCAGAAACTCATTCCAAATGTATTCATTCAATTACTCCTACAAAATTCTAATATGTGAAGTTCCCAACCTGAATGTAAAATTTAAGTTGCAGAAGTCATTTTACCATTCAGAACAGTTATTCTAACACCAAAGGACTTCACAACCTAGTGTTTGCCACTTTGTACAAAACATCATTTATTAAATCTCAGAACATTTCCCTGTCCTACACAAACCCAAGCCATTTATCTGTGCTTTGCCTAGGAAACATTCTTCTCTTTCAGTCTGAAGTCTGTTGGTTTTTTCCCATTATTTTCAGTGTTCCCAAATGCCCTTCCCTGGTTTCTTTTTCAGAAAGCACATCTCTCTTCCACAACTCCTCTCAGCAAAAACTAAAACTGTTAAGGAAAAAAAAGAAGCAGATACAAATGCAGAAGTAACTCACAGATGTAGTGGATATGTTATAGTGACCATGAAGCAGAACTGGAGGGAGTAAATGAAGGCAGGAGAAAGGACTCTGTCCAAGACCCTGAAAGCATGCAACCCTCCTGAAGACTTCAGGGGATACTTAAGCAGATGTTATCATCTGGATAGGTAAATCAGCTGTTTGCAGAGTCCACTTCAGCCAAAACATTCAAAATCTATCCACAGAGGCCAAATACATGTACACATAAATACACAAACACACAACTCCCAAAAAATCAGTCACCTGGAACACACAGCTAATACAGTAAATCTGTATCAAGGAAACCTTGCTGACTAATGTTGAGGGTATTGCCCACAAACCATCAGCAATATGGGAGAGCAGCTATGCTTAGAAGCATTTTCATATTTTTACAGGACCCAGTCATCCTTTCTGCACATATCCCAGCTCCAAAGACATGTATGGCTCTGCATTTGACTCCAATCTGTGAACCAAGAAAAAAATGCAAGGAAAGCATAACCTTCAAAACCAGAGCTGGCATTAAGAAGTGGAGATAATCCTTATACTGACTACACTCAGGCTGCCTGTACAAGACATGGGCAGGGACAGGGTAAGCAGGGCCTGCACACAGAGCACCCCAGGAGGCAATGGGAATGCACAACCTGACTACAAACCTTTGGCAACAGGCCCCATGAAAATGTAAGGCCAAGCCTACTTTTGGAGGAGAGCTACACAAAGAAACTGGGAATCTTTATCCTTTTACACTGCTATCAGAATGACCTGGGCATGCTTATGTTCTGAGTTTGTAGAGAGAAAAGTGACATTTCCCAGCAATGCTGAATAGCAAACAAGCATTTGAAATGGAAACATGACACTGAAACACCTATCCCAAAGAATGCAATGCTGCAACACACCCTACTTACCACAACCTGTCAGCACATCTTTCAAAGCTCCTTCTCTGAAAGGACAACCAGAGCTAAATTCTGCCTTTAAGTCAGGACCATGCCCAAACTGTGCTACTCAAGACATTTTCAAGAAGGATGCAGCCCAGCAGAGCTTCAGAAGCTCCTGCCCCTGATTTGCAGTACTTGCCTTTTCTACAAATGGCAAAACTCTGCAGATACTGTTACAGCTCAGAGGGCACTCACCACAAAAATGTACAGCTTCTCCCTTCCAAATATTTCAAAGGGCTTTCATAGCAGCTTCCACCTTCACCTATCACTGAAGAGTAACTTTTAAACATCACTCTTGAATAACTAAACCTAGCAAGGAAGCAGGACACACTTCTCAAAAAGACACCTAAATTTTTAATTAAACACCTCCAAGAACTCTATATAAAATGGAAGGAATGATTGTTTTCTAAAGGAAATTCCTGGCCAACTGCATCCATGGCAGAATGTTTTGGAATTATATGCCCTCTCAAACCAGTCCTTAAGAACAAATCACATATAGAAAAACCCTTTAGTTTCTAAATCCAAAATGTTAGAAAGCAACAGCAACAATGCACACTGGATGCTTTAATCAATACTTTGATATTTGCCTCCTGACATCAGGAGGTGAGAAGAATGCAAAGACAAATAGAAAACAGTGAGTGAAGTGGCAATAAACAATTGTGTCCCAATGGCAAAACCCAAAAGGCATGGTAAAAGGTTGTGGAATTACAAAATAAGTGCCACATGCCAACATGGCCAACAAAACCACAACGTAACCACAGGGAGACACAGTCAGTAATTTCCCATGACAGAAATCAGCAGGGCAACAATGCTCAAGCTAGTCAAAAAGGAAGCAACATAGTTGGAACTGTTCCCCTGAAACTCTACCACTTAATTTCTTAATGAAACCTTTGTGGAAAAAACTCATAATAGGCAACTTGGCTTTGGCTTTCAAACTCTTGGTTTAGTTTTGAATTACAGCAGATTTAGAAGTTACAAAGATGTATTTAGATACCCAAAATTTTCTCAGGAAACACCAATGATTCCTATGCTGCTGGTATTAGTATAATTATTCATTAAATGCTAAAGGCCTGTACTTTTCCTGACACACTGGAACTCACATGTCTAAGCATCCCTTCAGACAGAGTTTTGCAAGTAACATGGGCAGATCAACAGATTTCAATGTAAACTGCTACACTGCATTATGAACTGCAGTCCCCACCCAACATGGTTCCTCATGCTTTTTCCACAACCTGCCATGAAGAGGACAGGCAGACATGGACAGCAGAATTTAAGCTTTTCCAGCATGAACTAGAGCTTGTCCAGATAACAGCTTGCTGCTTTCCTCCAATACTGTCTACAATGTCATCTCTCCTGCTCTAAGTTTTAATGCTGCAAAACATCCACATTGCCAGCAGCCAAGAGCCCATGTTGGCTGAATACAAGATTTTGGAGTGGACCAAAATATTCTAGGGTAGCACCTGCAGCTTCAGCTGAACAGCTGGTTGGAACAGACCTGCTCCTCAAAAGATCAGGCCACTGCTCTGCTGCTGAGGAGCCACGTGAGCAATTTGGGAGGTATTCAGCACTGAAACACAGCCACCAACTCTTTGTCCTGCATCCTCACAAAGAATAAGAAGGGTACAGCAGATACAGCACCTCTCTCAGCAGCTCAAGCCATGTAATATAGCCAGAAGAATTACTGATTACAGGTCCACACCTAAAAAATGGCACAATCTGAAAGTCCTGTTCTGAGAGTCATCACAGGCTTTGTGACATATGCAATCTCAACAAGACCTTATTTCTAATGCTGCCAATTAATATTACCTTCATTATCCACAAATGTAATTCTGAAGAAGGCCACAAAAGAAAACTATTATAAGAAAAGATATTAAGATTACACAGACAGCATGAGGACTGGAACACTGAAGTCAATCACCAGCCACATATTATCATGTTCAAACACTGCTTCTTTGCAGAAATCTACTGCAAACTTATTGTCTTGTTTTTGCTTTCAAAGTGAGTCATATTCTGCAAGCGCACACTTGGTGTTGAAATCCTTTAGTATTTTGCAAGGGGTTTAATTAGCCTGCCACATTACCTTGGAGACAGTCCACCATGGGAGCAGTTGGTAGGTGAAGTTAAGGGGCTGGTTCTGCTGCTGGAGTGCCGGGAAGGAGTCCGACCAAGGGTATTGCTGGGGGAACCCTGACACAGAAGCAGGAAGACAGGGATTAGCAACGTGTTGCAATGCACAGGCAGGTACAGCAACAGGTCCAAACAGTGCCTCTGTTTGCTCTAGACAAGCTTAGTGCAGTTTTGATTATGCCTCTTGACCAAAAAATCTGCAGCCATGGCTCATGTAGTCATTAATATGCTCCTTCCTTTATCTGAGGATAAAGAAAGTGTATGTGCACTTCTGTACAACCCACAGTACCTGCAATTTAAATACACAACATGTATGGCCTGCAAATATTGCCAGAGAAATGGTCAATCAATCCAGCTTCTCAAACAAGATTTGCAAGGCTCCAAAATATGCTCATCATTACCCTGACAATTTAGTATTCTAATTACACAGCTATTTTCCACATTGTCTAAAGCATTCTGATTATGCTCGTTAGGAGCATAAGTAAGCAGTCTAACTTAGCATTTTTCCACTGGCCTGCACAATCTTTTATACCACAGCAAAATGAGTAGAAATTGCTCTCAATTCTGACACTTTTCACATAGAGTCAAAAGTATTAGAGAATCCAGACCATTTGCCTGGAAGCCTAATGCTGCAGTTCTAGCTTACACTAAATTCTGTTTAGCCCTGTGGAAGTGCAAAGATAGGAGGGTTCAAATTCCAGCAAGTTCATAAGATTTCCACATTAAAAAGAAAAAAATTCCTTAATCCTTGCTGCTCTGGGAAGGGAAAGAAATTTCCTATTTAAATCTACTAATATATTTTTTCAGTGAAATAAAAATATGTAAGAGCTTCATATAAAAGCAAAACATAAAGTAATAGGCATAGAGTGAGGTGACCTTGTAGGTCATATTAAAGATCCTGCAGGCTCCTTAACAGACAGTATAACAGTTATTAAATTGATCTCAATAACAGTCATAAGCCCAGAAAATCTGTGCTATCAGGATCTGTTTTAGCCAAAAAGTCATTACTGGCAGGACTTTCAAAAGCACCACCAACTTGAAAGCACAAACCCCACCAATTTTAATGCACTTCTCAGTAATTTTTTTAATCTCTTCTGGTTAGGACTATATTGAATTTTAAAATAACTGAGTTTTTTATTTTAATGGTTCCTTTTAAAAGCAAAATCAAACAGAAGCCTCTGTTGCCATATTGTTTCAAGACAACAGTTACGGATAATTCAAGCTGAACATCTGCAACAGCTTATCAATGAGCTGCTGTCCTTGGGGCTCTGCTGTTTGCAAGGACAAGGGCCTCTCACCACACTGGTGTTACTGGAGTTCTTGAGGTGGTTGTGCAGGAGCTTGGTAGCACCATCCTGGAATGTTTTTGGCAAGGCACCAAGTAACATGGTAAACTCAGGAGTGTTCAATTCAAAGAGAGAAATCAGGACTATTTGTGCTGCCTGAAAAGAAGAAAAAAGAAATCATCAGTTTTTGTTCTTTGAAAAGAGCATGCATTCTCTTGGTAGTGATCCTTATAGTAAGTGATGTGTGCTTCACTCAAAAAGAAGACTCCCCTACCAGACAGATCTTTGAAATGTTCTTTGTGATATATCATAACAAATTACTAACAGCAACAGTTAGCTTTAGTTCTTAAAGTTTAAATATATTTCTCCATTTATATCATTATTTTCCCAGATGTGAAGTGTACAGCTATTCACAGCCTAGTGAGAAACTCTTACCATTGTCTTGTCCAGCACATATTTCAACTGAACAAGTTACTGCAAAGATTTACTGGAAACAAATAAAACAAGAAGTTCAAACAAATATGAAGACTCTAGGACTGCAATTTGTCATTCCTGTGCTTTTTATTTTATGTGTGAATGGGATGAGCTCTCTTCCTACCCAACCTCTTCTCTTCCTAGGGATCCCAAGTTTGTTTCATCAAACAGATTATTCACCTCTCCTTCTAAGTCTTGACCACTCAGGCTTTTTCAGCAATAAAAGACTCCATCTGAAGTGGAAGACTTATGAGGATGGTGACAACCACCATTCTCTCGACCATGGACCAGCTAAACTCCACCACATTTCCTAAATTTAGTAAGTGAAACCGAGGTACCACTGAAACAATTGAGAATTCTATCATTAATTTTACTGGACAAGGTTTGCTTTATGTGCCTCAGAGAAATCCTGCCAGAACAGGATCTCCCCATGTCCATTAGCAAACACACTGCTCTGCAGATCTGAACTAAGACAATGGAATCAAATGGGAATGGAAGCAGAATAAATCAGCGTGCAGACCTGAAAAAGTAATTAACATCACACGCTCCTAACTGGACTTCCCCAGCAGCATCCAACCTGTGAGGATGCACCAGTTCTGTGGGCTCTTTCCCTGACTACCTTGAAAAAACAAACATCAATAAAAAGAAAAAAAAAAATGAAGCTATGATGAAGGTCCTCTGATAGTCAGCAGCAGCACCTGCTCCAAGGAGGGTGTAGCCATTGACACATCAACTTCCAGAATACCTATCTGCACACAAAGCAGTGGCTTGGGCTCACAAAGTTAAGCAGCAAAGCTACACATGCTCTTATTTTGGAAAAGCATACACATATGCTTAGGAAAAGCAGACACTTGGGTTTGACCCTTTCAGGAACTTTCTAAAATCTCCTAAAAATGAAAAATAACTTTGAAAATGGTACAAATGTAATTCACTGCTGTGGGATAAATGTACATTCATCGTTCTCATCACTTTAAAGAATGATTTTTTAGTAAGTCATGTGTTCACAAAGTTGCCACAATTAATTGGATCTGCAATTCCCTGTGGAGTGGAATTCTTCACAGATGATGAACTTGGGTACACAAGCACCCCTCATAGTGGAAGGGAATCACAGCACCCCATTGTTTCAGTGTGCAAATTGCAGTTCAAGCTATACTGTTTCTTCTGCCATCAGCAGCAACCAGCACAGCTTTGTATAGAAAAACATTTTCCATCCATGAAAGTTTGGTATCATCCTTTTCATATGGCCAACAGAGGAACCAAGGCCCACAACACTCCACAGGCTTCCAAGGAGTGCAGCAAACAACAGGTCTTCAGACTTCATACCAGATGGATCATGATGCCTCTCCTGCCAAAACTCTTACTGACTTGAACAGAAACACAGCATGTCATTATTCACTCCACTCTATAGATCTAAGGATGAAAGAAGTGGGGAGATAGTTTTCCCTGTGCCTTTCTCAACTCCATTGTCTACCCTCCTCTGACCTGAAGTTTTGGACAACTCTGCCATGAAGCCTGCCTGGTATCCAACAAGGAAGTGTATTTCTGTCCATTTTGATCCAAGAACTTTTAAGCTTTCACCAGCACAGTATTTTCTGTAATAAAAATATGACTGCACACAAGAGATCTCAGAACAAGGAACAGCAAGTTGAACTGGATGCAAAGTGACAAGCCATGCCAATGAACATTCCCGCTGGTGAATGGCATGCATATCCTTGATAGTTAGGAGTGGACATGCAGATCCTCTGTGTCAGAACAAGCAGATCTCACATTCACTGAGATTAAATAAAAACCAACAAAACCAAAAAACCCCAAACCAAAAAAACCCCTAACCAAACCCCACAAAAACTGATCAATAAGGTTCGCAGATTGCGAGATTGCCTAAAGATTAGAACCTGGAGTTATCAACTGCTAAGTCAGGAGCTGCCCAACAGAAATGTTTGAGATGCATCTCAGAGGTCTGAGAGAAACCTTCAGCAAAGCTCCACCACAAACACTAATAGCACAGACATTGTCCTACAGGAGTAGCTGAGAGAAGTTTCAGGTCTCAGAGGTCACTACAGTTTTGTTCCACTTTTGTTTTTTGGCTTTAATAACAACAGAACTGTGTCTGCTCTCCTTCTTTGCACAATACAGTTTGTCTTTAGGGATGTTTGCCAGAATTCTGTATACCCAGTACTCTTCAGCAGCTTTCCTGTCACCTGTAAATAGTCACTGGGCTTTGAATGACATGCTTAACAGTTGTTCCCAATGCTCACAATCTTCTGTGGCCTCAAACAAAAGAGACCTATAGTTTATGTCTTTTGAAATAAAGCCAAGGACTACTACATCCTGAGAGTGGTGCTCCAGGAAAGGTCTCAAAGACAACACTGGAGTTACATGGGGTAAAACCCTGTCTGTGTTCTTTCTAAATTGTGCTCAGACAGCCAACAACACTTCCAGGTTTATTTCAGGCAAAAGTCATTATTTGAAAGTGTGCCCGTAATTTCTTACTTAATATTTAATACACAAAGGTCTTAGCCCCTACCACTGTAAGATCAATATTGCTACTTAGTGGCCTCAAAAGTTGGAAGATCCATGCTAGCTTGAAATCACATTTGTAATGCGCTTCAAGTTTCACTCCTGAAATGCTTCTAATACAAGTAATTTCGGTAAGGAAGAGCATCAGGAGCAGCATTTCCGCATCTGCTGTAATAGTTAGATCTGGACACACTTGATAATCCTCTAAGTTTTACTTATCTAGCATATTTTTACCAAATCAAAGGACATCTTCTACAGATAATGTTTCTAAGACTTTTAAATCTGTGGATTTTCAGCTTGTGACAAACCAGAGACATTTTCATAATCTCTGAATTTCTGGACATCTTGCTTCATTAGATTACTGTCAGAGTAAAGAAATATAACAAACAATAAAAAACTTGTTTCTGTACACAGTGTACAAACATTCTCCATGCAACACTCATGCTTGATGATATATAGTCTGAAGAAAGTCATATCTGAATTTTCCCTTGCCTTTGTGTCCCTGTACCATTAGTACAGAACACTAATCCATCTCCTTCAGTGACATAGAACGTAGACCCTACAGATTATCTAATCTTAATGAAGCCATTCACTGCTGCCTTCAGCTGGAGAAACTCCAGTCACTTCAGAGCCTGACTGTGCTAGAGAGGGGGTCTGGCTCAGTGTCAGGTTCTGAATCATTTGCAAAGGATTGCTTATGTCACTTTGTTATTTTCCTTATCACAATGCAGTGGGAGATCAGGTTCCACAAGCCAGTAGCAGCTCCCAAAGTTTCACACTCAGGTCACTGCAATTCCTGCTGTCCAACAGTGTCAACTGCTAAAGGGACACAAATGCTTCAGCAATATCTGGCTTTTTGTTTTTACCTAGATGGTGGATGATAGTCAGATTCATCAAAATCTCTAACTTTTTCGACATGGCTGAATTACAATAAAATGTCTTGGAAATCTTTTGGGTTTATTAAGCAAACAGATCAAGGCTAAGTGGAAAAATCCATTGATTTTAGAAAGGAAACGTGGTCAGTGACCTAGGGTTAACAGAAGTGCCTTATGACTGCTGCTGCTCCAGTGGACCAAGCAGAACAAGCAGATAGTTGCCTGAGCTACATGAAGGCAGTTTCCAAGTTACTCAAACATCTGTTGGTGATGGGCTCCCAACACTGGCAGCCCCATAAAAGAAGGGGACTTTGTACCCTGATCCTTTATGAGGAACTACAACAATAGAGTTAACAGAAAAACACATCAAAGCCAAAAATTACTTGAGACAGACACACTTTTTTCAGGCTCCCAGTCCAGATCTCTTTACACAGCTAGACAGTTGAGTTGAGACTGCAAACACAATTAGTGTGATTAGTGCACAAGGCTTTCAGTCTACCTGTTTACATTTCTCTTCCAAGTTTCCTTCACCAGGCCCTGAGGAGGCTGTAGTTGTCCTAGCTGGCAAATCCTCACCCACCCAACTATGCATCGTCTGGGTTTGACAAACAGGAAAGTTGGTATTATTCAAAGAAAACATTGATTTCAACTCAATCACCTAAACAATACACATGGTATCTTTTTGCAGAAGAATTTTGATCAATTTCTTGCTTCATTTCAAGCTAATAAAAAAAGCATTATTTGATGTCATCAAAAGAGCATTCCTTTTGGCAGAGGGCAGCTGAAATTAAATTCAAAATTAAATTTGGCCACAGCTCTCAGGCTTACACATGATCCCTTAGTTCTTCTACAAGGCATTGCTTTGGTAACCTCCTGGTGGCCTCCACAACCACCTGAAAACCTCTGCTGAGGTGCAGAGCTTAGGCAGCGCTGAACTGGGATGAACTTGCATCTGGCCAGCCAGGAATGGGGCAATAGGTGCATCTCCCCACACCTGCCCTCACAGAGATCTCTAAGTTCAGAAAAAGTTATGGTTAAAAACCTGCAAACTCCTGTCTCCAGTCTGGACATCAGTCTGATGGACCAACACTGCCTATAAATGCCTTTTATCATGTGATCAGTCTGGGGAAGAGCCTCACTAACATCTACTCTCTTTTGACAAGCACAATTATATTCTGAATGCATCACACACAGTTGTATTCTGAATGCATAACCATCCAGTCTAAGAAAAATATGGTTTTTAATAACTTAAGGCACAATGGAGCAGAGAAGCTCTCTCTCATGTCACTT